AATTAAATAACTTCATAGCTAAAATAATTAAAGCCCGTACACTACATCAGATTTAATCAGATTGAGGTGATTGTATTCTTAATTGCGGTTTATATTTTGTTTGTAGTTTTACGTCACCTTTTTCGTCGATGATCTTCAATTAAATGTTCCATGTTATTGCCACGTAATATTAACGTTACATGTTTTTAGTTTGGTCAGTAAATTAAAAACAAATCGTGTAGCCTTTAAAGCATCAAAAACACTCAACTCAAAATGTTTGAAAATTGGCCCGGCAATGACAAGTACTATCTGGTGGCCGAGTCTCAGTCAGAATGTGGGGGGATAGTAGTTTTTCTTTGATATCCATGTAAAAATACACATCAAATCGACTTTTGTTCTAGAACAAAATGTCACTGCCCCGCGCGCACTCATACAAAAGTCTTTGATGAAGTGGTGAGGACTTTCCTGGCAATTTTCGTCGGAGAATCATATGTAATAGTAACAAAACTGTTCTCGCCCTCTGGTGGGGTATATTAAGTAAGTTATTTTCACTCGTGATAAGGTGTATCCATGCTGTATGTTTACTCGATACGTCGTATCACTCGTGAAAATAACTGTCAGACCCCACAAGCGTCAGAGTGGGGCCACGGCAAACACGGCAATAACAACAGCTGCAGTAAACAACGCCAATATTTTATTTTCGGGTACGAACGACTAGGGATTATCAACAAGTCACTGATATCAGGAAAAAAAGACTTTTGGAACACATCGTACCATAAAGTTTTCGTTTGATGATACACTGAATTATTGTAATACACGGGTATCAGTATTTTTCTACTGACCAAATACATTGTACATGTAAATTATGGTATTTTATTTCACGTCGCGTATTTTATCAAATATGGCCTTCAACGTGCAACAAGAATATAAAGAAATGTTTGATTTCGTTCATATTGTATCTTTATAGAATTACCTTTATAGATTTATTTCATCATGATGTTAGAATATATACATTTGTTTGCAGATTCCGGATGCGGTTCTCCGCGATACATGACAACTGAAACAGGATCGTTTGCATCTCATGCTACCTTTGATGGCGAAACCACGTATGACAGTTTTTCCGATTGTCACTGGAATATTGATATCCCTGATACTAACTTGGTAAAAATAGTTCCATTCACGATCCATGCACGATGATTATTCTTTCTTAATTTGAATACATATTTGCTGTCGAAAAGGGGCTACAAAATTAGTGCCATCTTTCCGCGTGAAGTCTTTCATCTCTTAAAACACGCCACCGTCTTTGAAATAATTCGTATTCGTTAAATATTTTCGTTTCGACAGGATGAAAGTAATTCAGCCTTTCACACACATGCACGTTTTTAATGCAAGTTATCGGGAAAGGGTATATTATGAAACTTTATATCGAGATGAAGGTCTTAATTGTGCTGCAATTAGGAAGCAATTGAACACATATTGACCAGCAGCGAACGTCAAAATGGCAAAAAAAAACACCCCAAACCGAAACCATATGACTCTAGGGCTACCGACCCGGTCATATTTTACCTTACAAACAGGTTCATTACATATTTGTCACTTTATCATGTTTTTAGGGATTTCTTTAGTTACATAAATACCTATAAATACACACACAAATAGATGCAATGCGCCTCTACTGGACTAGACATCAAATAATATTAATTACATTTTGTACAAGTTTGATTTTCATAGTTAAGATTATAAAAGCGCTGCATCAAAAATGCACTCCCAGTGTTAACTCTGACTATGATACATATTCATACTTCGCGTCATTGCCCCAAATTACACACGTGCGTCATAAGATATCAATATTCAATTTTCAGGTAGTGGAGTTACAGTTCAGTCATATGCACACTGAGGCTGGTGCAAATTGCCCATTCGATGGTTTAAAAGTTTACGATGGCGTTGATGACACCTCTCCGATTCTAGCAACTCTATGTGGTATTAATGCACCATACCCTATTGCTGCAACTGGTCCATCTATGTATTGCAATTTTTATAGTGATTTTGCTGTTCAACATACTGGATTTCTTGCCAACTATATATCACGTGTAGAACCTCGTAAGATATAAACGTTTAATTAAAGTTCAGATGCTGGTTCATGGGCAATTCTAACTTTATTATGGGATTATACGATATAAATACTTAGATGGAAATTGTCAGATATTGAAGACAGACATGTCAAATACGTAAATTGTTTTAATTATGTGGCATGAATCATATTTAGAAAATTGTTGAAAGAGAACGAAACACACTATTAACACACCAGACATTGTCTTGTAGACAAACATCCACCCAGCAACATAATGCGAACGAAACCAAAAATAACATGGCTTCGAATGCCCACGAATCTGCATCTACAGCTCAATTAATTGATTTCCATTAAGCGAATATGTGAGGCAGAGAGTGTGAAATTGAGATAGAGATATATATAGAGAGCAAGGGAGAAAGAGAGAGCGAGGGAGAATGATATTAAATAGAGTGTGCAAAAAGGAGCATGATTCCGCGTTGTTTTTACATGAATACAACCATATAAGTGGGGCCAATTTAAACTTATTTGAGTTTGTGTACGGCTTGGCATTATAGAAATAGGTAAATTGGTATACAATATACTATGATGTACTCCCTTTTTAATCCGAAAGCCACGCTCAAACTGAATAAATTGAAGTTATTGTTTGAATTAAATTAATTAAACTTAATTAAAACGCAACCCTCCACATGTTTGCGTTTTAAATAATAGAACTTAATTCAATTCAATATAATGTATGGTAACTTAATTTAATTTAATATACTTTGATTGACCCACTTCTAATAACAGTATGTTTGTGTATTGCATAGTAACATGTACTGAACCAATGTTCTTATGTGGAAACGATTATAATGGCTACTGTGCCATTCAAGAAGAACGATGCGATGGCAAAAATCAATGTATAACTGACGAAGAAGGGTGCCCAGGTATTTATTTAATTATTTATTAATTAATTAATCGGCAATGTGCGTAATATTCTGTAACATTATGAGAATTTATGGCGTCGTGCTATTTGATACACATCAAGGTCGCCCATAATTACTGTTGAACATAACTTCTTTTGCGTGAAATGTTAAAACCTGCGCACGCGCGGGAATTGAGTCCCAAGCGACGATAACAACACACGCTAAAAACGTAAGGGCTCATGGGTAGACGCTTATTTGTAAACAATGACACGCTATGGCCATCTGACGCATGCGCAGGTCACGACTCTCCCCGCTTTAATATCCAAACCGAAAAAGATATAATTTATTCTCATTACGTAATATGCAGTGACGTTAATCTTAATGTCTTAGTATGTGTACTACACTATTATTATCAGGAAATGCTGTGAACTGTGGAGAGCCGGCGATACCACCTGATACTACTTGGCCTGTAGCTAATGATGACGTCGTGACCATCAAGATTGTCAACGGGACTGAAGCCGTTCCCCACAGTTGGCCATGGATGGTGAATATATCTTACTCTATAATCCTTTTTTTACAAATCACGTGTTATGTGGACGTGAACCACAAACAAATGACGTCATATCATATTGAACGTGTACATGTTATTTTATTTACAGTTCTCTTTGGATAGTATGGGTATCCAGTCATGTAGTATTACTTTATTTACACCTCTCTTTGAATAGTATGGGTATCCAGTCATGTAATATTACTTTATTTACACCTCTCTTTGAATAGTATGGGTCTCCAGTCATGTAGTATTACTTTATTTACACCTCTCTTTGGATAGTATGGGTATCCAGTCATGTAGTATTACTTTATTTACACCTCTCTTTGAATAGTATGGGTATCCAGTCATGTAGTATTACTTTATTTACACCTCTCTTTGAATAGTATGGGTATCCAGTCATGTAGTATTACTTTATTTACACCTCTCTTTGAATAGTATGGGTATCCAGTCATGTAGTATTACTTTATTTACACCTCTCTTTGTATAGTATGGGTATCCAGTCATGTAGTATTACTTTATTTACACCTCTCTTTGAATAGTATGGGTATCCAGTCATGTAGTATTACTTTATTTACACCTCTCTTTGAATAGTATGGGTATAATAATAATAATAATAATAACTCTATTTAATTAAGCGCAACAATTCCAACATATGAAGATCAAAGGCGCTGATACAATAAACAATCAGTCAAATATTAAAAGCACATTTAAATAAGTGCGTTTTCAGTCTGGATTTAAAAATGTCTACTGAAGGACTAGAACGAACAGACAGAGGTAATTTATTAAAAAGTTTAGGACCTAAATTTTCAAAAGCACGGTCTTTGTACAACACCTTGGACTTTTTACTACACATCTGACGAGTTTTAATAAGAAACTTCGATTCAGATCTTAAACTACGACTCGGTACATAAAATTCGATTAATTCACATAGATAATTTGGGGCAAAACCATACAAAGATTTATACACTAGTAAAAGTAATTTGAAATTGATTCT